CCACATCATCATATAACTTAAAGCATAATGAAAAGACTAATCTACCCTCACTCGACCAACTCTAACACTCCCCCTCGAGCTGGAGAATACATGTCATATAATCCAGCTTGTTACATATATAGTTCACTCTCCCTGAACTCAAACCTTTTGTAAACAAATATGCCCATTGATCACCTGAACCCACGTGTTCTGTGCTTCTCTCTCCAATAAGGACTTTCTCCCTCCCAAAATGGCAATCAACCTCTATGTGTTTTATTCTCTCATGGAAAATTGGATTCAATGAGATGTGGATTGCAGCTTGATTGTCACAGTACAATCTCATAAGTCTGCCCATTGAGAATCCAATCTCTTTTAGAAGATTTTTCAGCCATACTAACTCACATGTAGTGTGTGCCATGGTTCTATATTCGGCTTCAGCACTACTCCTTGCCACAAAGGTCTGCTTCTTACTCTTCTACGTCACCAGATTTCCTCCAAGAAATGTGCAATAACCTGTAGTAGATCTCCTATCCGACATTGAGCCTATCCAATCTACATCTGTGTACCCAACTATCTCAAGTCTTCCTCCTAGTTTGTACAATAACCCACAGCTTGGAGCTCCCTTCAAGTACCTTACAATTCTAAGAACTGCATCCAAGTGAGGTACCCGGGGATTCTGCATGAATTGGCTCACCACACTAATAGCAAAGGAGATGTCTGATCTTGTGATGGTCAAGTAGTTCAACTTCCCCACTAACCGTCTATATCTTTCAAGGTCATCAAATATTTCACCTGCATCACTTCTCAACTTAGCATCCAAGTAAGGTACCCGGGGATTCTGCATAAATTGGCTCACCACACTAATAGCAAAGGAGATGTTTGATCTTGTGATGGTCAAGTAGTTCAACTTCCCCACTAACCGTCTATATCTTCCAGGGTCATCAAATATTTCACCTGCATCACTGCTCAACTTAGCATTCAGTTTCATGGGTGTTTCAGCTGGTTTCGCACCTAACAGTCCCGTTTCATCCGGCAGATCAAGGACATATTTTCTTTGGCACAAGTTTACACCTTGTTTTGACCTGGCAACTTTTATACCCAAGAAATACTTCAACTTCCCAAGATCTTTTGTTTGAAAACGGTCTTGCAAAAAGGCCTTTAGTCTATCAATCCCTAATTTGTCACTGTTAGTTATGACTACATCATCCACATAAACTACTAATAAAATCTTTCCGGCTTCAGAATCATAATTGAACACTGAGTGATCGACCTGACATTGTTTCATTCCAAAATTTTTTACTTTACTAAACTTCCCAAACCAAGCACAAGGAGATTGTTTCAGCCCATAAATTGTCTTTTTCAGTCTACACACCTTACTATCCTCCCCCTAATCAACAAACCCTGGTGGTTGCTCCATATATACCTCCTCCACAAGGTCACCATGGAGGAAGGCATGTTTAATGTCAAGCTGAAACAGGGGCCAATCATACATAACTGCCAAGGAAATTAAGACATGAACCGAACCAATCTTTGCCATAGGGGAGAAGGCCTTCATATAGTCCACCCCATACAACTAGGAATAACCTTTAGCAACCAATCGGGCCTTCAACCGCTCCACACTACCATCTGGTAAGTATTTAACAGTATACACCCATTTACAACCTACAACATGTTTGCTTGGAGGAAGAGTAGTGAGCTCCCACCTTAACATTACCAAACTTTACCAAGCCACTTGTGGTGGAATGTGATGCATCTGGTAAGGGAATTGGTGCAGTTCTGCAACAAGAGGGTCATCCAATACAACAAGGAAGTGATGGCTTTGGTACTCTCAGTGCATAAATGGAGGGCTTACCTCTTGGGGCACAAATTCACAATGAGGACTGATTAGAGGAGCCTCAAACACTTGATGGAGCAGAGGTTTCTCAACCTGGAACAGCAGAAGTGCACCAGCAAGTTAATGGGCTTTGACTTCACCATTGAGTATAAACCAGGCCCATCAAACACAGTTTCCGACACCTTATCCAGGAGAGAAGAAATTAACACTATGACTGTTTACAGATCCCTCTACCCCTTGCTTGGTCGCATCAAAGACGAAGCTCAACAAGATGAACTGAAGCTGATTCGTGAACAGTTGGAAACGGGTGCAGGCCAAGTAATGGGGTATTCCCTAGTGGGTTCAGATTTATTCTACAAGGACCGATTGGTGGTAGCATCTAAATCTGCTTACCACACCGAACTCTTGAGATTGTTTCATGAATCAGTGGAGGGTGGTCATTCTGGAATGATCAGAACTTACAGATGCATCAGAGCCCACTTTTACTGGTGGGGAATGAAGAAAGCAGTGCAGGATTTTGTTGCAAGTTGCTCTGTCTGCCAAACCCATAAGTATTAGGCCCAAACTCCTGCTGGTTTGCTCCAACCACTACCCATTCCAGATCAGGTATGGGACGAGGTAACTATGGATTTTATTACAGGATTGCCCAAACCCGGTGGGAAGTCTGTCATACTTGTTGTTGTGGATAGGTTGAGCAAATATGCGCACTTCATTGCGCTTTCTCACCCATACACGCATCCCAAGTGGCCCATGCTTATATACGTGAAGTAGCTAAGCTCCATGGCACACCAACAGCTATTATTAAAGACCAACCCCAACTTTGTAAGTAGATTCTGGGAGGAATACTTTCTGGCACAGGGAACCCATACTTATCATTCCACTAGCTATCACCCATAGACTGACGGGCAATCGGAAGTGGTTCACCGCTGCCTAGAGACTTACCTCAGATGTTTTGCAGGAGAGAAGCCTACTCAGTGGCTCAAATAGCTCCCATGGGCCGAATTCTGGTATAATGCTACTTACCATGTTACTACGGGAACCACCCCCTTCAAGATTTTGTATGGAAGAGACCCACCCTATGTGTGTTACCTTATGAGAAAGGCACATCAGAAGTTGTAGAGGTTGAACAGCATCTTGAATCCAGAGACGAGTTGCTGCAGTCACTAAAAGACCACTTGATCAAGGCTCAGAATTACATGAAATTGCAATATGATAAAAAGCATCATGAAGTGGAATACCAAGTAGGGGACTTCGTTTTCTTGAAACTACGACCTTAAAGACAGTCATCATTAGCAAGAAGGGCTTGCCAGAAATTTTCACCCAGGTTCTTTGGTCCCTTTCGCATTTTGAATAGAGAGGGAGCAGTGGCTTATAAATTGGATCTGCCAGCTACCACCCGCCTCCACCCAGTATTTCATGTCTCCTTTCTCAAACCATGCAAGACAGATGCAACTTTAGTGAAGCAACTTCTGCTTGAGTTTACTAGTGAAGGACAGCTGATTGTTGAGCCCAATATCATCAAGGACATCCGCTGGGTGAGAATGAGCCGCAAGGTGGTGAAACAGGCCCTTGTTCAATGGACCAATCTGCCCCCAGAAGATGCCATGTGGGAGGATTTCAGCCGGTTGCAAGAACAGTTTCCGCATATCGACCTTGAGGCCAAGGTCAGTCTTAAGGGTGGGGGAGATGATAGATCCCAGGAAAGTTGCCAAGCTCTGGATCACCAGGCCCATACAGATCATGGAGCCCATACGGGTTGTGAAGCCCATGAAGCATCAGCAGTGGCAAGCCCGAAGCCTTACAAACCTCCTCTGCATTTTTTCTATACACGCAGGCCACATCAGGACTCCCCACATGCATAGTTTGTTGGTAATGATGAAATGATAAGTAAGAAAGCCTAATATAAGACCAATCGGTAGTGGAGAGAACATGATGAATTATAACTCACCTTTATCCCACTTCCTCCTCCTCTTACTATTCTCTCTTTCTTCCTCTCAGATTCCGTATCTCTTTTCTGGAAGAAAGAGCTCCCTCGAAGAAGCTCTGTTGATCGAGAGTCTATCATCAGCACTCTCCTCCACCTCACTACCTCCATCAAGACTTGAAAAGGACCCACCTCGCTACCTCCACTCTAGAATAACTAAGGGTGATAACCATATGAAGTCCCCCAAGAAGAGGCGAAAGCTCAACTCCTACATTAATGTTGACCAAAAGGGAGTTCAATAACTCCTTACCTCTCTCTCTCAACTCACCCAGGCAGCCTCTTCCTTGGCTGTTAGTCACTAAATTTCAAAATATATATTCATTTCTAAATCTAGGAGAACCCATCACTCCCTATTTCTTTGTTTTGATGGGTGGCAACTCCATTTTCTTAACCACAAAGTGAGCAATCAATTTCCAATGCTCAACTCAGCACAAAACCCCAAATAAGATTCTAATGGACAAAGAGAAGATGGGAAATAAATGCCTTGTTACAGATGAATGCAACAAAGAATAAGGATATGTTTGTTTTGAGTTTGAAAACCATGTGCACCAATATGAATGCAAATGGAGTCCAAGTAATACAGTGCAAAAGTTGGCTTGGTTTTGCATAGGTATATAAGTACATGTCCTGTTTGGTTGTGATGGGTACAATTTACAAAGTACAAACATGATTACAAGTTTACTGTTGTTTGTTTTGAGTGCAAAAAAAACAGACAGAATAAAAGCAAAAAGAAAAGCATACAATTTGTTCTCCACTTTTGGGTAGTTACATCAACCAAAAAATATGTAACCATATTGAATTCAATCAGTGCAAAGTCTGTATCCAACTTTTGGAGCACTCTTTGCTCCCATTTTGAGTGCAAATATGCTGAAGAAAGAAAATCCACCCTTGCAAAAATGCACAGTTACAAAAATATGCAAAATTGAGCCAAACTGCAAATTTGCCTCAGTTCGATGTTTGCATCCCAAAGGACCCAAACAAATGCAGCCTAGATGTTCAATATTCAACAGAGAATGTTGGATCACTTAATTGTGATAAGTTGAACAATTAAGAAAGATATCTTTTTTTTTTTTGAAAAGGTAAGATAAATTTATTAGAACAAACAATTAAGAAAGATATCATGATTTAATGAATTACAGCATTTGTGAAATAGCTATAGTACAATATATACATATATATAAGAGGTCCTAGTAATTGCAATACCTGACTTGCCTCTAGAGAAGCACCAATGGAACCAGTGATATAAGACAAGGGAACCTCCAAACTGAATACTGATAGATCAGGATAAACACTAGACTTCCCATCAGAGTAAACCACTTCAACAGGTTCAACATGAAATTTCCTTTCACAATATACTGAAAACATTGTCACCTAGGAGAGCATAAGAGAAGTCAACTAACAAAGGAGGCATTACATGACAATCAAACACATGGAACAGAAAGAGGTTCTTTCTCCCACCATGGTGTTCAGAACAATTTTGGCCTTCGTTAAATCAGTGGCTGTACATTCGATGAAGACATTCTTTGTTTTCAGACTAATTGCAGAATGAGCACCATTGATAATTGGAGGTAAGGACAAAACCGTCCTGCAGAAAGAAAATTTGGTTGTTTCACACTCCAAGGAGAAAAAAAGGTTAAAATGTGACAAGAACTATATAAATGGGTAGTTACATAAACAATTTGCCAGGAAGCATGAGCAGGGAAAGGAATTACAAAATTTCAATATTTCCTACAGTTCTAACAAAGCAAACAAAAGTGTGCACTCAGTATTTTCAGAGGAACAGGTATTTCCTG